TATTTACATAACAAAACATCTATAATTTTCAGACATTAGAAAAAGAGGTTTTCCCAATTTTTTGCTTTTGAAAATTTGGCAATAAAACATCACCTATCAAAGAAGATAATTTTTTGTGCCGTTGCATTGAACTGCCTGAGCAGTGCCTGCTTGGGGAAAACTTTTCTATTGTGGAAATGACTTTTTGTTGAGCTATTGCTTATTTTAAAATAATATGAGTATTATAAATCCTTGCTTCTCACGCGGCTAAATGTAGAATATGTGCAAGAGAACAATATTATTTATTGGTTTCTTTTTTAAAGTAAATGACCATATATTACAATATATCTCATTAACAAATATTTCACAAACAATGTTGTATAAATAGATGTACTTAAATTATAAAGCATGATTATTTTACTTTTAAAGCACTACATTTTTAGTAAAAATTTATAAAAAATGTGAAGTTTTAACAATTCAATTGATTTTATCAGGCGTTTTTATAATTTTATTAAGTTGGTAGTAAAATATAAAACCATATAATTTTTGGAATTTAATTATAGAAAAACAAATCATTATTTTTTATAGACGGCTTGGCCATTGCCGTCTATCGTTAAGATGCTACATTACCATGGCCCACAAAGACATTAAAGAACATCATCAGAGAAAACTTTACGTGGGAGGGGGTAGGGTTGTTGTGTGAAGAAGGCGATTTTCAAGTTATACACGGTCATTTAGATATTAGTAAAAAGCGCTATGTTTAGGTACGCTTGCGTAAGAAAATACGAAATATTTTTAAACTTTCAAAAATGACTACGGTTCTTAACTACAGAGAATATTTTATATGGCAACAGTTTATTTGTTAATTAATTTCTGAAAAGCCAATGATTTAACCTTATTTTTAACGTAAATCAATATAATTTCATACAAAAATTTCACAAAAATATAAATAAATAGCTGTAACCAAAAATCTTTGCGCCCTTAAATTTAATTTTTATTAACTACCTTTTTAGTGTATATCATAGATTTGTTTATTTATTTGAAATCAATTTTCTAAAAATCTGACAGTAGGATTTAAAAATTTTTTTTTAAAACTTTAGATAAATATTTTCTATATGTATGATATTTTTCTGGTCACAGATTCAACTTTTTTTCCATGACTATTTCCTTATATATCAAAGTGCAATTTCATTAATTATTTCGTTATTTACTATTTTTCTGACAATATATATATATATATATATATATATATATATATATATATATATATATATATATATATATATATATATATACATATACACATATACATACATTAAACGTTAAAAATAAGGCTAGAAATTGGGTTTTCAGAAATCAAATAAGAAATGGATGGTTACTATATAAAATATATTCTGTAGTTAAGAACCGTAGTCTTCAAAAGTTTTTCTCATTTTCTCACGCATGCGTACCTAAACATAGCGCATGTAAACGACCGGGTATAGTCGGTTTTTTAACGAATTTAGTCAACTAGTCGGGTATTTGACACTGCTCAGTCAGTTAAGTTTTCGTTTTGAGGCCTTTTTATTTTTATTTTTTATTTTTCAAGAAGCCAGTCGGTACTTTTTGAGGATTCACCCCCCCCCCCTCATTTTATTTGTAGAATCGCCTTTGAGCATCATTACCCACTTTGCAGACCAAGAGTAAGTGATTTTGGGGAATTATATCAGAAAATCAGACGAAGTCAAATTAGAAATATAGCATAGAGAGAGCGGAAAGATACTACACTAGATGTTATAATGTGCCATTTAAGTTCTTGTCAAGTTCACTTGATATGAACGTTTTATTAAGTTTTTTTGTCGTCAATAAGTATTCATTATTGGAACTCACTTCTTCTACGACAAAAAACGATTAAATGGTTTCCACTCTTTATATACCGTAAAATCGCCCAAGTTTGGTCACCATGTAACTCCTTCGGTCATTTAAAAAAATAAATAATAAAAGAGCATGTAAAACTCATATTTTATAAACTTTTTTTTCTCGAATATTATTTATTATTACTTTAATAAACATGGATAAAAAACGAAGGAGACAATTAGCGGGAATGCAGTAACGGATCCAGGATTTTTTGATTATTGAGAATCATGGACGCCCGCAGGATTTTTTGATGTTTCAGATAAGACACTTTCATACATTGTACGAACTCCAAACTTAAGTCTATGCCAAATAAGAAGGCCTTGCAAAAGTTTGGGATAGCAGAGGCCAGTGAACAAAAAGCCTAAAAAACGCTTGCCCTCCTCTTGCTTAAACGTGAAGGTACTGATGTAGTAAAATTTTCTACCATATCATCTTAACCTAAATTTAAATTTATCGACAGATTTTTAATTTCGTAGAAAAACATTGTTACAAAAGTTATGAACATGCAAAATTTACACATCCCAATTTTTTTTTTTTTTTTATTTGGGGGGGGGGGGGGGTCGGATCATTTTAATAGAACTTTTTTGTTCCCAGGCCTCCGTCATCCCAAGTTTTTGCAAGGCCTTTTCATTTGGCTAAAGTATGAATATATTTAAGTTTTGAACTTGCATAATGTGTGAAAGTGTCTTATCTGAAACATCAAAAAATCCTGCGGGCGTCTATGTTGAGATAGCTAACTCCAAACATTAGTACGTTTTTACATATGTTAAACAATGAGGCTAGGCAAAAAATTGCGATGATTAGAGGCTGGAAACGAAAAAACCCTTTGACTTCATCCTCACCGGGCTAAGAGTGCCTAAGAAACTTTGCAGTAGCAATGAAATGAAAGCAAGTAGAAATGAAAAGGCTTCAGTCAAAATACTTGTCCTCGTTTTGATGAACAAAAGTTCTAATTTTTTTAATAAGTCTTGTTCGCCTGATGCGTAAACTATAATTTTGTCACTTATAAATTTTACTCCCTCCTATCTACCATAGCTTTGCTCTATAGTTTTTTGAAAAATTTCGAATAAATTGTTGATCCCATTCACTAAACTTTTGTGTAAGAAGACTCCCTCATGCGATTGAAAATTTGTAATTTTTCTTGATTCTCTAACTCTAACTGATCATAGGCTTCCTTTATGTTTAGTTTGGCAAATATTTTTGAACCATTAATTTCATCTATTACTGAATTTAATGTAGGTATTGGGTGTCTTTTACGTTCAATTTCTTTGTAAAAACATGCACTTCCGCGGTGTTCTGTGACAAGACCGTTAGGCCTTCTTGGGGCACATTCATGCCTGTGACCAAAAATCCTTTAATATTAACAATATAAAGAAAGATACGTATATTTTTTTATTACATTTTTTTGAAAGTAAAGTTTTTACTAAAGATCATTCTAATCCATTAAAAAAAATCTTACAAAACAACAGATTGACTCTAGTAACAACAGAAAAAGAAAAAAGCAAACCATTCCTGATTTTAATGCAGAGCCGAAGACACAGGAGAGAGAGGAGGATGGGAAGGCAGGAGGGGGGCGGGCACGTCCCCCCCTCGCCACTTTTTTTTCTTTTTTCTTTTTTTAAAAGAAAATTCTAGATATAGAAGACTTTTTTAAGAATTGGCAATTTTGCCCTCCCCCAATTCGAAACCCGTGTCGTTGGCCTTATAATGTTAAGCCCTAAAAAATGGGAAAGTTACCGGAACCTGTAGATTTTCAAATAAAAAGTATTTCTTATTATATTATCAGTCTACTTAAGCCATTTATGATAAACATCTACTTGCAGCCAAAAGTAGATAGAGTACCGAAAGTCTTTATATAACGTAAAATAATTTCTCTAACTCAAAACATTATAAAAACGGGATTTGTATTTACACGTGAATTTAGCAACCAATTAGAAAATTACGACTTTTGGTATTTTATCCTCGGTAAAATTTAAACTGTAATTTTATAATGAAGTCTATTCATTTTCCCTCATCTTATTCAACTTTTTCTAGTTTATTAAGTTTACTATCTTTTAATTTCATATCAATAGAGTAAATTTTATAGTAAGAATAAGTTAATTTTTTGAAAATTTAGTAATTGAATGGCAACAATAAGTCATTTCGAATAAATTCAATTTATAAAATCAGGAAGCCAAGTTCCAACCTACCTATAATCCTATTAAAATTTTATGAAAATTTCTCCGCTTAGAGAGGAGCTAAGCCTTATTGTTGATTTTCCCTACAAGAGTAGATGATGGTAAATGATACTATTACCTTGGGCAAAATCTAATTCCTGCAAGTGAAAATCTTCTTTTATAATTGATTTTATATTTCTTGGCAGGTAAAGGGAAAATAAAATAATAAAGCTTTAAAATGTCACTCTAGTATTGAAGGAAATTTAAAATCAAAATTGAGTGAAATAATTATTATCAAGCGCATAATTAACAACCCTATATTTTGTATGTGGTACAGTAAAAGTGTAATTTTTTTTTTATTGCTAGCACAAAAGTTTATTAAATACAACAAAGTGGTATTTTAAAATAAATGTGCTAATCTTTTTGTTTTATCCGATTGCTCATTTTAAAAAACCCTTTTTTAAAGTGTTCTTCAGTTAGCAAAATTAAAAAAAGTTGAATGAACGAAAAGTTTTGACCTTGTTTGTTTTAAAATTTGAAGAATTTGTTGAAAGCATAGCGCTTCGTACAAGTATAACGGGAGTTTCAAAACATATGTTTTTACTTTACGAACCTGTGCTTTTATTTACTGTTTTTTTTTTTGTAGGGGAAAAATAAGTCAGTTTAAGTCAACCTAAACCCGTCTGAAAGCACTAGAGACACATTCGAAACTCTAATCCAACCAGTTCATCAGAAAAACATACTCTCTTTTTTTTGTTTTACAAGAGCACTAAATTGTTGTAGCATGAGAGAGTATGGGAAGAAGCTTACTACTTCCTTTTTCAGCTATTACAACAGAGACTTAATGTATTAGAAAATTTTTTTTTTGGCCATAATATACTGTTAAATAGTAAAAATATTACATACATTTAAAAAAATCAAAAAATTAAATAATACAAAAAAATAGTGTGCATTTTACAATAGTGTTACCATGTGGGTAGGAAAATTGTCAGCTTGTCAAATTTAAAAGAGTGATGTGCTTTCCTTGCTTTTCAGTTAGCAAATATGCGGGGCCCAGAGGCTTCGACCCAAAAAGCCCTTTAGTAAATCCGACTTTGCTTGAGAGGACTGAGACCAAAGATTATACAGCCTTATAAGAAAAAATAAACGTTTTTTAAATTTTTTAAATTCAATAATTATTAATTAAGTATATTAATCAAAATAAAAGAGTCAAAGTCGACCAAAACCAAAAAACAAGCTCCAATCTAATGTAAGTAAACTTTAAAATATTTTTTATTTAAATATTACGTAACTGCATAGACAAGCAAACATATTCAAATAATAAAAAAATACTTTGGGAATAAGTAATAAATAAGCAAAGTAATAAATAACTAAAAGATATTACAAATTTTTCATATAGATCATTATATAAACTAGTCTTACAACAAATAAAATTTAGTTTATAATTAGGGAACGGCGATGTATCGTTTAACGATGAGTCGATTGGCTATTCATCGTGTTCAATACATCAAACGCGATTAATTGTTCAATTCATCGAACACGTTTAATTGAACAAAAATGTACATGAATGATTAACGATGTGTTATATATTAAAAAAAAAATAAGTAAAATGATTTAAAATTATTTACATTTGTAGTTTTTTGATTTAAAGTTATGTTCCTTACAATGCCTTTACATTTTACATAAGAAAAAGCAAACAAATTGTCGAACGAATGGATAATCGTTAAATTAAATAGATTGTTTAATATATTGCTAATCTTAAAACGTTAACTCAAATGCCTTAAAAAGACATATTAACAAGACACTTATTAATTACATCAAATCATGGCAAAAAAAATTGTTTTACATCTTTTTTTGTTGCTCAACAATGCCAGATAAAGTGGAGATTAAAAAATTGAGGACAATGTTTGCATTAATGAAAAAACTTGAAGAAATTTCCAACCTTGCGAGTTCAGAGACCGAGGTCTTAAAAATATATAAATCATAGTAATAACATTGCGTAACCAGAAGGTGATGTAGAGTTCGAAAGTAATACATATGTGACTTCTTTAAAATAAGTGACCAACAATCGAAAAACATTGCAAACTTATTATAGCTTTTAGATTTTTATCATTGAAAGCTCATTATATCATTATCAAATCAACTTTTAAAAATTCTAAAACATTTTATTTTAATAATTCCACATTGCTTCTTATTATCATCATAGATGATAACAAGAAGCTTATTATTAAGACTGCTGTTACAACGAATGACATAATGGTAGAACATGCGGGTTGTGAAAGTGTTGCTAAGTTGAAGTATTGCTAAAAACAAAAGTGTTGCTAAATTGACTGACATATAGATAAAATAAAGAGAAATGCTGCTAAATTAATTGAAAAATAGGTTAACATGCGAGAAGTGTTGCTAGATCGACTGAGAAATAGAGTGCTGCTACATCGACTGAGAATGTTGACCATATTACGGTAGTTGTTTGCAGTAAACAACCCAGTTGTTTTCTGCAAACAACTACCGTAATACGGTCAACATTCCTATATTAATGAATGGCAATCTTCTTACTGAGTCCTCCTCTTAACGTCTTCTTGGATTATCGCTTACTACTGACCTTTCATGGAAACCATATATACAATCGATTGCTAAATTAGCTTCTGCTAAGGTTGCTTCACTTTATCGTGCTCGCCATTTCCTTACTTCTGATTCCATTCTCTACCACTACAAATCTCTTATTCGTCCCTGTATGGAATATTGTTGTCATATTTGGGCTGGTTCTTCTAACGATTCACTTTCTCTTCTTAACAAGGTCCAAAAACGCATTGTAAATGTTGTTGGACCTGGACTATCTGCTAAGCTTGAACCTCTTTCCCATCGTCGTAAAGTTGCATCTCTTTCTCTTTTCTACAAATACTATCATGGTCATTGCTCAAAGGAGTTATCATCTCTAGTTCCATCAACTAAAATTTATTCTTGTTTTACTCGTCATTCAGCTCAGTCTCATTCGTTTACTGTATCTGCCCCTGCATGCTCTAAAAACTTTTATTCATCTAGTTTTTTTCCCCGCACTTCAATCCTTTGGAACTCTCTCCCATCTTCATGTTTTCTTGACTTATCAACCGTTTCTTTTCTTTATAACTCTGGTCTTTTTTTTCCTAGTAACTCCCAACTTAATAGAGGTTGCTTGCAGCCTTGTTGGGAGTGAATGCAAATAAAAAAAAAAAGATAGAATATGCAAGAAATGCTGCAAAGTCACACTATGCGTCGCTAAAATAGGATTTTACTTATTTTCTGAATAATAATTTTAATTTAAATATTTTAAATAATATTTTAACCAAAACGCGTTACTATTAATTAACCGAAAAATGTTTATTTCAAATTTTTTAAAATTTTTCTTCTTAAGTGCCGGATTTTCAGGGATTATAAACCCCAAGTCTTTATATTACATTAGATAATTTCCAAATTTTTTCCATAGTTTTTTCCATATTATCAAATTTATGATACATTTTGTAAATTAAAAACCAAGAAAGGAAAAAAAAAAGTTTAAATCATTGATTTTGTGTGTCTGTAAAAATTGATTGGACGATGTTATTACAGAAGTACCCAGTTTTTTATTTGATAAAAATTTTCTGCAACAAATTGACTATTTATAAGTAAAATAATATTCTGGCTATCTCTGTAGTAACACGGTACAAAATAAATTCAACTGTAGTGGGTTTTATTAAAAAACAGGTTAATTAACAGTTTTTGTTAAGTATAAAAACAAACTGGATGGTGCATTCGTTCCTAGTCTTTAAGTTATAGCTTCTAAGTTGTGGTTTAATGTTTCAACTTCGAAGTGTGTTTTTATGATTTATAATGATTACTTTTAATCTTAGCAAACTTCTGTTAAATAATTTAATATATATATATATATATATATATATATATATATATATATATATATATATATATATATATATATATATATATATATATATATATATATATATATATATATTATAATACATTATACATATTATCAGGGCCGGCGCGAGTAGGTGTCACGTGGGGGGGGGGGGGCATTACAACTTTTGCGCCGAATAAAAAAAAAAAAAAAATCTTCGTTTTCCAAAATTTGCCGACAGTCATGACGACATTTGCCGACTGTCTAACCTACATCGAAAGGGGGTCCACATTTGCCGACTAACTAGGTCCAATTTGCCGACTAAGGGTCCAATTTGCCGACTAAGGGTCCAGTTTGCCGACTAAAAATCATTGATGAGGGGGGGTGTCACACCCCCCTATCGCGCCGGCCTTGCATATTATATATACATATTATAATATAAGTATACATATTATAATACATTATACATAGCTTTACTAATAATAACAACTAACATACTAAAATTTTGAAAAAGATCCTGAAAATGTGGTTAGGCGTTACTCCATGTCAAGTGACTCAGGTCATGTCACCATGCAGCTCAAATTTTGCTGGTTTTTATACAGTTGAGAGTGTAAACACTCTCAAAATAACCAAGAAGACCCTGAAATATCACCACCTCAGAATTGCAGCGCTTTTTTAGAGGTTTCAAATCACGTAACTTTAAAAATATTTGATTTTTTTCTTAAAAATTTGTAACTGGCTATTTTTGGGGGTGATAAATCCAGTGAAATGATCGGAGGTACCTGTAATTATCAATTAATTAAAAATAAATTAAGGCAATTTTTTATACAACTGTTTTTAATGCTCAAGAAACCATGAGGCCATAATGATATCAAAAAAATATACATTACTCATCATTATATATTCATTGATCTTTTAAAAAATTGTAAGGATTTTGATCTCCAAGTATATGGGTTTCCATATATGGATAATGGGGCATAGTCCCCACTTTTTTGTAGTGGTATATTGCGATTGATTTTTCACTACCTTCCAGGCTAGCTGGAGTTCTGAAAATTTTGGCATTTTTGTAGTGCCAATGAATGTGAATGTTAAAATTAATTTCAGGGCCCCAAGGCACTTGGGAGGACTTGGGCAAATGCCCCACTTTTTTGTAGTAGAACCTTGTAATCTTGTGACTTTTCTCTACCTTCCAGACAAACTTGAGCTATGAAACTTTCAGCATTTGTGTAGTCCTGATGAACTTGGGTTAAAATTGTCTCCAGGGCAGAAGAAGATTTTATTTACAACACCAGCAAGATGGTGAAAAACAACTGCCATGCATGGACCACGCATTAAACGATGATTAAAACTTGGCATGGTCCAATCTTGTTTGCCGATGGTGGGCAGGTCTGGGCACCGATGATGGGTTATGAGTGCAAGAAACGTGGGAATTTGATAAGTAGTAAAAACCTTTACAGTTTGGAAAGTTATCTGCAAAACCTCTAAACCAAAATTTTATAACTTCAGTTAAGGTAATTGCAAAACGAGTTTGTCATGCTTATCATACGCATGCGAGTTAAATAATGGGTTATTTTGTTTACTCTTGCATAATAAAATAAAGTTCACATGCTTAGCTAAAAAATTTCCATTAGCAGTAAATTCACTTAAATCATATACTGAGGGAAGTAGTTTTGGATACAAGGCTACAATAATGTTAGGAAGCCTCATTTTATATTCAAGATATATAAGTATAGAAATACATCAGCCACGCGACGTTCAGCCATTAAGATAAGTCAGCTATAAGATGCTGCATTTAGGGTCATAGGTACCTTCGCTTCAATATTGTAAGTAATTAATACGCTGAATGAGCGTAGAGATAAAGTAATCAGGTATATTTGTATAAGTAATAAGTTTAAACCGTTTGTTTAAACTTTTTACTTATACAAAACATACCTGAATAAATTGCTAATCTGCTCTGTTGTTAAACTTAAAAAGATCTTTTATTAGATTATCTAGTGTTAAGACTGCGACATCTTGTACAAGGATCAAAAACATCTCAATGTCAAACCGACAATTAACCAAAAACTTTGCGTAAATGAAATAAACATCTAAAAGTTTAATATCTAAGTGGTTAAAGAATGCTTCTTGTCTTTTGGTGCGCCGTAGCAATAATCTAAAATATACTATCTAAATAATTTATTTTTAAAAGAATCACTTTTTATTTTTAGACTAAAGAAATTGATAGTATTCATAAAGTCAAAGAAAATATTTTATAAACTATTTGTTTAAACTTATTACTTATACAAAACATACCTGAATAAATTGGTAATCTGCTCTGTTGTTAAACTTAAAGACGATCTTTTATTAGATCATTCTGTGTTATGACTGTGCGTAAACATTAAACTCAGCGTTTTGTAATAACATTTTTATAGTTCCGTTACTAACGAAACTATAAAATCTATACAAAAAACCAATAATGTTTCTGGATATATAAATGAAATTTGGCTATAATTTAATAAATAAAATTAAACTTTTCATCCAAATATTTTGAATTAGCCAGAAAAAGTTGTATGCAAATCTATTTTTTGTTACACGGATTAAATCCTTTTCATTGAAAATTAAAGTTTAAATTTTAAACTGTATCTAATTATGAAAATAAATTATCATAATATAATATATCTACGCTAGCCAACTGAAAAAAAGTTTTTTGTTTAAACAAAAAATGTATAGTAATCATCATAAATAATAAAGTAAATTATCACCTGTTATATTTCTATTGTGTAAATATCATAAAATGTGGTAATAAAATAAAATTTACATTATAATTTCATCATCATTTCAACAATCATCTAGTTTTAGTTTTTATTTCTATTAAAAGTATTTTAGTTTCACAATTTGATGAATAAAATCAATATGTTTCAAATCAATACTTAAGTATAAAAAAATACTATGTAATAATACAATAGTAGTTTGAGACATCACTAAACAGTATATTAATATTTTAGTTTTCAACAACACTAGATAATAAGTGAAAATATTTTTGTGAGCATATTTAACTGTTGCTAGATAATAATTCTATAACATATGCGATTGATTACATAACCTAGACAAAAACAAATAAATAGTTAAACAACTCTGACATTACGCATGTAAAGTAGATCTGTTTTGATTATTACCAATATAGCAGATATTATCTGATTCAAAGCTTATACGAGATCATCAATAACTTATAAAATAGTTATTTTGAGAAAAATGGTAATATAACGCTTTTTATTATTTTCTACAAACGAGTTCCGCGCCGCACAGTGAGTCAAAATCCATTAAAAAACGGTAAAAAACCCCCAATTAAAAACTATTGCTAGAAAATAATTAATTAAATTATAATGTAACTAAATTTTTTTGTGAAAATTTTTTAAGATTTCACCAACTTAAACGCGTTTTTCCGAGACTTTTATTTATATTTTAGACTTTTATTTATATTTTATTTTATTTATTTTATTTTATTTATCGAAAAATACGTTCAAAAAAGTCTTGGTTTTCACTTTTTTAAGATTGATATTGGTTAGAACAGTTCAAAATTTAATTTGAAGTCATATGTTTAGGGTATTTGCTTACTATGACAACATATTTGACAATGAATTTTAATTTTTGATTTTCATTACTAAGGTGTCAAAAATATTTCTTAAATTGATATTTTTAAATTAGTTTAATTATGACTTTAGTTCAAAAACTAAAAGATTCCACTAGATTCTATGGTAGTTTTAATATTTTACCATTAATAGGTATATATAAAAGCAGAAAAAATAAAAATCATTTGCCCCATTTTGCCCCAATTAAAATAATACCTTTTAAATACTTCGTTTTTTTCGTATTTTTTTTTCCATTTTTAATTAAACTTGCGTATAAAAGCAAACAATGGTTCATAGCTTACATTCATCAAAAAAATAATACATTTAGTTTCTATTAGTAAAAAAAAATGTTGCTCAAAGAGATTGTGCTAATTATCAAACCTCAAAAACCAAAATATTAAACATTTTACATTCAACATGAAAAAAATACAGATAGATCCTATAATTCAAGAGTTAGGAGTTATTCATGATAATTTAATCGAGGCTCTTCTACGTGAGTTTTGTAGACTGGAGGGTCTATACTATGAAAGTATTGACAAACCTGAAATGATAAATTTAAAAAAAAGACTAATAAAATTTAAATGTAAATTCCAATCAAAAATGCGGAAACATTCAAGAACCTTCTCTAGACTTTTTGAACACAAGCGAGTTTGGTTGGACAAAGATGTTGGCAAAAAAAAACAAAACTGTTGGCAAAAAAAACTTTGGAGCAGGTCCAGGTAGAAAGTGCAAGAACTGGGAAGATATAGGTAACAGAAGCAGAAGATCTAGGATAATAATAAATTAATTAATTTTAAACCAGTTTAAAAAGTAGTTTACAGTCTTAATTAATAAATATTATCTTGTTTAAGGTTGCCAAACTGGCTTAACATCCTACTGAAGCATTCCCAGCCAACATTTACATTCGGGTGCCGTATGGGGCACATACGGGTCGTCAACTGGGATCCCGCTGGATCATGACCGCGGTTTCCATATGGGACCCATATG